AGACCCACTACTTCTCAGAAAAAATCTGGTAGCGCAGCGAATCGAACCCAGACCTCTGGATCTATACCCGGGAACTGTGACCACTAGATCACATAGGCGAAAATCTGTATCAGAAGTACCAGAATGATATACTCGTATCTTGTGCGTAACATGGAAATTATTAATACTTGTCTATAAATAGTCCTCCCCAGCCTTAGCGATACAAACTTGGGGACGCACATTTGAACATGGAACAACATTAACGCTTTTCAGTGTAGGATGTTTTTTACTATAAGTAAAGTAAGTAAAAGTAAAGCTATCCCTGTACCAGGCCGTGAAGGCCCATAGGGTTGTGAGACGTTGAGGGTCCCACAGTATCTAGACAATCTGCTCAAAGATGGCGGTAAGGTTGTCAGCCTTACGCGCCAGCCGCGCTTTACTCCCCAGAAAAATTATTTAATTACAGATCACAAAAAAATAATTCCCTTAAATGGTACATTGTAATTTTAACATTACTAATGAGTTTTATATTTAGATTTAGATCAATATTAACGCATTGTGCCCTACGGCAGAATCAGAACAAGCGGTTCAGAAATTGACAGACTTATAATGTTAAAGTACAGCATTACTTGCATGCCATCAATTTGTGCTTATGGTAGCGTTCCAATGGCGGAGCGTGTTAGCCAGNCCTGAGTAAAATTTGTCACACACAGATTCCGAGATACAGGGAGCTCGGGCAAATCTTGGAAACTGAGTATATACGTACAAGACAATTGTGTCGATCCGAGCTAAAATTAATGACGCTAAGGTATAAAAGAGGAAGGACATGTGAATTCAGAGAAAATTGATAGTCTGCCTTTTTATTATTACGTCTTGTACTATAATTCCATGCGACGAGCTTTAATTCTGTGAGAATATCTATCACAGAGTCACAGAAGTTCGGACTATTTTATACGCCGTGGAGAGTTTTCTTCTTAGTTGACATTAATTGTAATTTCTTGGGTCTGTCCTAAATACGCGTGCTGTGTCGGTAAGTATGGCCCTGTTCAAAGCAGACGATGACTGCTCAACAGAGGCACTGATTGAAGGAATGGCAGACGATGCATTATATCAGGCATGTCCGACTTAAGACAGATTGTGATCGACTTTTTAGTGTCAAAACTGCCAGTGATCTACCACCCCCTCCTATCGTCGTACCTCGCTTTAAGCAAAAATATTGGTAAAATTAACACGACACATGATGTTTGTTGTAAAAGCAACATACATTGAAAGTACAGACTACTTTAATACGTATTTTCCCTTCATAATCTGAATATAATCATATTATATTACAAGTGAATTTACATGCTTTTCACGTATAATTTCCTTATAGCGTCCCGCTATCGACGCATTGGACATGCCTGGTCTAGAACAAGGCCGTCCAGTACCACTAATGGAACTCCTNATTATATGATCCCTTTCTGTACTATACTACGAGTATATATGGTGTACCAGTGAACCACTAAAGTATAACTTTTTATTTTTCAAAGTGTCAGTTAACATGAACGCTCCGCCACTTGCATTCAATTCTTCATACAATGGCCATTGTTACTGAACACTTGCATGACAGTACACATGTCATCACGTTCAGATGTAATGAAATGGCACATATCGTACAGACAGTACATACCTACACACACATATACATCTGGAAATTCACGTATGGGACGGACAGGGAGACAGAGGGACATCTGGTGACTTATCTCTCTGTCCGTCCCATCCTGCTCCTACGAGTATACGAGTATACACGCGGGCGCTTGCGTGTGTGTGCAAGAAATAGTATATAGACAAATTGTTCCTCTTGGAGTTACAACTCCGTGAAAAATATTGATTTTTTCGTGTTCAGGAAATGGAACATTGAATGTAAAAAAATCGTCAGCTGTGCTCTCACGTTTCGTCCAAACTGTGCATCGTAGAAAGAAACGCTCCTATTGGTGAGCTATCTATGGGTGAAGAATTGCTTCTTGCACATTTCAGTAAAGAATCACAGGGTGCCCAAGAGACTGAAATGACACACACTGTCAAATGATCCTCAGGTTACTAATATTTTCATTGCCAGAACCCACGTCATCGTATTATTGTAGTTTTATTGATTTTTGTTGCGTGTCTTGAAACGAAAATTCTCCTCATGTTTCAGCTTAACATAAAATGCAATAATTTTACATATGTATCACATAGAAGAGATCCATTCTACGTGGAAAATGAGACGTATGTGCATTTCTTCAAGAAGTTGCTGTGGAGGATCTGGTTAAAAATTAAGTTTACACTAGATTGTGGAGTGATATATTTTCATTCTTATTTATTTTGAATCCGTTACGCTGACCACGCGACACCCTCTATCCGCAAAAGTTGGCACTAACTTCGCCGACAAGCGGTGGTCGCTCGGTCGGTATAGTTCGCTTGCGGACTAAAGACCACAGAGTTCTTTTTTTTTTACATGTTCAAATGTTTATAAATATTGTATTACAATTCTGTAGAGTCGCAATTCCAAAGACTAGTCGTTTTAGTTTTGCAGTGCTGTTTTCTTCATACAGCATATCTCACAAGAACTGTGTTCTTAAAGTCTAAAAAATTATTTATGTCTGTCCAAGAACCCAGAGTTGACAAAAAGAGTTTTTGATTTGAAGTGCAGATTTGTCTGAACGTGCACTTTAGTTTGTGTCTGTGTGTGTAATAGCGGAACTGCGGACTGTCTCTATATCCTTCTCACCCTGTTTCTCCCAAAGGTTAGTCATAGGCAAAAAGTACAAAAAAAAAATTGTTCTCTTGAAGAGACAACTCCTCGGAGAATTTTTAACTTCGCTTTTGCTCTCATGTTTTCTACTCTAGATCAGTTTCTTTTCCAGTTTCTCCCTCCAATGAAACCGTCACGACAATAGGTGTTATGCCTATATGCCTATATACCTTAGTATATTTTCGCGTTGTAACAAATATGTCTGGAACCTGTCTTTAAATTGTTTTTGCATAATTGCTGCTTACCCTTGGCGCTTATTCACTCGCCTCCATTTGGTGTCGAAGTCAAGGATGGTGGAGCTATTCCTCCACTCCCTCATATATCTCCATGGCATAATGCTTAATTAATTAAGCACAGAGACTTTTTTTCCTTGGCACTACAGCCCCAGTGGGCCTAGGCCTACCTCATGAACTTCTCCATTCACTTCGGTTTTTCTAGATCTTACACATTCGGTAGGACTCCTTGGGCGGGTGATCAGCTCGTCGCAGGGCCTCTACCTGTACACAAACACAGAAAAACGCACACACACAATCTAAACATCCATGCCCTGAGTGGGATTCGAACCCACGATCCCGGTTTCCAAGCGAGCGAAGACAGTACATGCCTTAGACCGCTGGGCTACCGTGACCGGCTAGCACAGAGACTTTACCCGACACTTATTAATAGATAAGAGTTTTTTTATTTTATTGTCTATAATCTGCCGTTCACAGTGGCCGCGTGGTCTACGGCATGAACTCTCTTCGCCCTCTCAAACGCTAGGGTCGTGGGTTTGAACCCTACTCGAATCATGGTTGTCTGCCTGCGTTTGTTGTGTGTTTGTGTTGTTCTGTGTGTAGGTATCGTCCTTGCGACGGGCTGATCCACCGTCCGAGGAGTCTTACGGATGTATAGGATCACGAAACTGAGAATGCGGTCAGGGCCCAACAAAGAGCTGTAGAGCCATTGCTGCATGATGAATGTCTGCATTCTACTGAAACAACTAGTACTGCCATAACATCGCTTGAAACACGATTTAGCGACGTGGGATTGTTTCGACTTCGTCCCAGAGCTGTATGAAATGCACTGATTTGTGCTGCCTGCCACGGCTGAATGCTTTCAAACGTCGTTCATTGTCCAGCTCGAACCCTTGGACTACCCGGCTGAGGAACACACTCACAAAAAATGGCACGTTTCACTACACCGCAGGTTCAGTGGCGTGACTACTGCCTGGTTGTCCTACATAAAACCGTGAATGCTAGCTAATAAGAAATATTAGGAATTACCGTAAACGCTTGATATTTTTTTCTATGTGATATATGATGCGTGTAAATCTTTCAACTTTTTACAGTGCTCTGTTTTACAATCGGATTTTACCTTATAAAGACACACTGCTTCTACCATGTACCATGCAAACATCAATCATTTAATAGGCTAAGTAGTCCATGTGCGTAGTGTATCACTAAGTCATTAAGTCTCATGGGAAAATGGAGATATAGCTCCACGCATTCTTAACTTTTGGACTAGATGAGGGCTGGATAGTCAGCTTCAAGCCTTGTTCATTAAACTGTAGGAGAAAGAACTCTCGGTACCCATTGGATAAGAGGATATTTTGTCTCCAGAGCCGGTCTGGACGCGATGGCGAATAAAAATCCCTTAACCTTGCCGGGAATCGAACTCCGATCGTCCAGCCTGCAGTCTAGTCACTATGCTGACCCGACTATCTCGTGTTTAGGAAACGGTAAAAGAAAAGGTGAAGCTATCCCTGTTACAGGCTGTGCAAGCCCATAATATTGTAAGACTTTGAGGCTTCCAATTTTTCTCGAAAATTCGCTCACAGATGGCGATGAGATGTCAGCCTTACGCACCGGCCGCCCTTTGCTCCCAGGAAGATTCCTGGTACTTATTTCTGTTAGAGGCTGAATCGATCCCAGGGCCATAGTGCGGCTGGAAGTATAAGGTCAATTGAAAAATCCAATGACTCCATTGGGAATCGAACCCACGACTTTCCGGCTTGTAGCAAAGTGCTCAACGTACTGAGAATCAAATAAGACGCACAACTATATTGTTAGCTAATTGACTGTTACTTAGCTTTAAGGGATACGGTAAACATAGTTACCAGTGCCATGTAGAGTGTTAACCAGTCGACTATTGTAACGTCACTGCTGCGCACTCCAATGAAGTTCGTTGTGTTAACCGCGCAATTGACAGTCGACCAATGACGTATCAAAGAACTTCGTGCGCTTGTGATATATATAAAGGAACACTCAGCTGCTGTAACTTAATGTCTTTGTAATATTAACTGTTTTGTTCTCGTAGATACGGTTCTGTGAATTTTATCGTAGATTAAATGGTGAAACCAGTACTAATAACAGTAATAATTTATATTTTCTCTATGTGAACGTGAGTGACAGATTTTATATAAAAATGACTGTGCCTTTTCGTAGATTACTGGTGCACTGGAGGTCCTTGGTAATAGTTCTTGTTCCTTTGGCCCTCTCGCCACTCATTGTATTAGGAAGTAAGGTTTGTATACTAAATGTAACGTGGACTTTATTGTCTGTGTCAGCCGTAAAATGTCGAAGGGCATTGTCAGCGTCACTACTGAATGTTCGTCTCTGTTGATAGTTTTCAACGAGCTGCGAAATATATGCATAGTGTAAAGAGTTCTGGTGCATTCGCTCATGCGCGTTTAATTATCTCGAAAATCTTAGACTTGAGAGAAAGTTTACTGGAAGGCAAATATTTGTTTCAGTCTTCTATAGTACTTCTGTTCGAAATCCTGAGTATTTAGCGGTTTACGTTCGAGATGGGTGTTAAAAGTGCCAACTTCAGCGGATAGAGGGTGTCGCGTAATCGGCGTGACGAATCCCCACGGCCGTTAATTTCGGTTTTCTAGACCGGAGCCTCTGTTTCCTTGAAATAGCTCCTCAATTATCCTCACGAGGCTGAGTGGACCCCTCACCGACAAGCTGCGGTCGCTCGGTCGTTATAGTTCGCTTGTGAACTAAAAACCACGGAGTTGGTTTGTTTTTGTTTGATGGGTGTCAAAACGCATTTACATCTTCATACAGGATGTCTATTTTAACTGGCACTGGATTATGTCAATTTCAATAAAACGCCTCAATATAAATTTTCATGAAAATTCGTCCAGTGATCTCGAATTGTTACAGACGGACAGATAGAATTACATTTTTACAAATTTTCACTTCAAACTTGCCAAAAATAGTTGAAGAGTTTTTACATACTTTGCTGAGAAGAGAAATGTAAGACAAAGATTCCACGAAAACCTGCTCACGTATGGAAAATAAACGTTCCAATTTCTTATTCTTATATTTGTTACTTGTTTCGCTGCATCAGCTACTGAGAATATATAGCGTTAAATAAGATGTGCCGAATTGCGAATTAGAAGGATTATTGCAGGAAGCAGTCACGACTCAGAGATCATTTCGTCAGCGAGAAGTTGGCCTGCTCTGCTCTAGCAGAGACGCTTCAACTGCTTTATGAATGGCGAGTGATGAATGGTTTGGGAGAAAGCGGGAATGGCGTATTTGAACGTACTGTCCTGGAAATCGCCTGGAAGAAATTAACAAAAAATTGTGAAAGACGTTAGTTATGATAGATAAATTCTCCGGCAGAGATTCGAACCAGGTTTTAATCCATTACAGGTCAGATGTATTGTTTCCAAACTGAATTAGTCGGTATTTTTGTTGTTTCTGCTATTGTTGTTCCCATATAAATGAAATCGTGAGTAGTGGTCAGTGGCCAGTACCGATATGTTTCATTGCCCCTCTCTTGTCTGAAGTTCCAGATCAGTATAGTCTTTAAAACTGAACGCTATCGCTGGAAATGCAAGTTGCCGCTGGAGAAGTCCCGATCTATGATACGGAAACGAACTCATTAAAACGTGAAGCTATGTACAATATTTCGAAAGTAGCCGAATCCAATCCTTAAATTAGAGGTTAGGAATTGTACGTATGTCGTAAATGCTAAGGTGCTTTCGCTTTTTTATTGGCTAGCACACGGAAGCGTAGTTGGTCGAGGCACTATGCTACAAGCCGGAAGGTCGCGGGATCGAGTCCCGATGAGGTGGATTTTTTTTTTAAATTTACCTGATCCTGTTTACAATATTATATTTAAGCATCCTTTTGCACTCTATACGATAATTGATATTAACTCCGTCCCAAGTGCAAACAATATATTATATGTCCTTGATCTTGCTCTACTTTACACTACATGTTTCGGCCTCAAACGGCCATCATCAGGTGTATACACTCACGTTGCTGTTACACTGCACTTAGTTTAAAATTTAACATTTAACGAGTACCCTGACAATTTAAAATTTTAAAATTTAGAGAAAAATTTTAAAGGATTTTAAAATTAGAACTAAAGATGTTATAAGTGCTAACGTGTATAACAAAAATAATCTATAAACCAGACAGATATCAACGAAGTAGATGTTGATAATAACAACGAAAGGAACAATGTGTTTTTAAATGTTAAATTTTAAGCCAAGTGCAGTGTAACAGCAACGTGAGTGTAAAGGAGAGCAAGATCAAGGACATATAATATATTGTTTGCACTTGGGACGGAGTTTATATCAATTACCTGATCCTACCGGCCGGACTATGGCCCTGGGGTCGACTCAGCATCTAACAGAAATGAGTACCAGGAATATTCTTGGAATGTTCTTGAGAGTAAAGGGCGGCCGGCGCGTACGCCTGACAACCTTACCACCATTTAAGAGCCGATTGTCTAGAAAATGTGGCAACCTCAACACCTCACGACCCTATGGGCCTCCACGGCCTGTTACAGGGATACCTTTACTTACTCCTTTAGATATTTTGAAACTACCTTTTGTTCATCTCGAATATTATAAGATTTATGGCAGAGATAAACTGTAGATAAACTGAATAATTAAGAATATGATGAACTCTTGACTTATACTAAAGAAACATTATATTCACATGGAAATATTTGCTGTAAGTTAATTATGATTCAAATTGGTTCCTTGAAAATCATGAACTGACCATCACCCATTCCTTGAATACCAATTATATGAGCCATATATCAAAGGAATGTACATTTCATACATGTTTTCTTGCGAAAGCTAGTTGATATATGTAGCCATGTAATTTTTACAGTTCTAAGTTTATAATGATGAGTTAATTATTGTGTAGCGAGATTGGTACATAGGAATAATTTTGTTTGTTTATACATGCCTCTAGATAAAATGAAGGGCTCGAATCTGCCACATTAAAAGTTAAAGCAAGGAATACTGTGTGTCGGTGATACAATTCTCGTACAAAGGCTTAATTATGAAGTCACAACTCTAAAGTACGAAAGATAACAGAGGACGAAAGAAAGTTGCAGCGTGTGTATACATGCTCACATTTGAAATTTGTCAGTAATAACAAAGTTAACGAAAAATTCTATAATCTGGGTTATAATGCCGTGTATTCTATTGAAAGACAACCGATGTTTCGAAGTAACATGTCATCTCTATCTTCGGGGTAGAAGAATAATGCATGCAAGAAACTAGCATGAAACAAGTAGCAAGCAGAGTAATCCGAATGCCGGAAGCTCGGGTTTGTACAGAAAGCGGAAGGGAGCTGCAAGACAGCTTTTTGCAAGCAAGTAGTTCTGCTGCTGCTTTCTTGCTTGGCTTATTCTTCGACCCTGAAGGTTGAGAAGACATGTTCCTCTGAAACATCGGCTGACTTTCAACGAACCACACAGCCTTATATCCCCGAATATACACAGAACTCTTCATTTCCACTGCTGTGGAGATCTCAAGTCTAAAACAAACTTAACGTTTATAACAAAAGACAGGCCTAGGATCGCATGATATCTGTTTGTCCATTCGCTTCCTGAGAGCCTTGAGGAAAGTGGCGCATTGTCTTGACTTTGGAAGGAACGACTTGATGGGGTCATCCAGAACCGACGCGACAACAAAGGCAAACCCAGCGGCCGCCTGAGATGGCACTGCGAGAGCCCATTCTCTTCTCTTTCTCTCCCTTCGTTTTCGTTAAGTGAAAAGTCGGTTCTGTTTGACCTTTTGTTCATCTTGCGACCATTAATTGGCAGCAATCTAAACATGTTACGCACAATATGAGTGTAACTTATTTAAGAGTTGTAACACCAATGACGATTGTCGTGCCAGTGCCTTATTAATTTGACAAATTTTTTAGAAAATTTGTTTTTAATTGAGAAGGAGGGTGGACTCTAATGTCACTTTTACCTTTGTAATTATTAATTTGCTTTAATTAAAAATACTGACATGACCTCCGTTAGAATATACGAGGTGGGGGAAACTTAAGTGATATTATTATTATTGTTATTATTATTCCAATTATTATTGACTGTACAGCCAGGTTTGAGCGTAGGCCATCCTTGCCAACTTTCTCCAAAATCCCTTTCGCCACAAATGACTTTCTTTTTTCACTTTTAAATTCTTTTCTCTTGTATTAAGACATCGAGTTTCAGTTTACCTTTGTCTCTTCACCTTTACAGCTTAGCAACAGTTGTTACAATTGCTGGATCATTGTTACACCTTCTGCTATGTGTCTCGCTCAGTTCAAACACCTTACCTTAATAATTTTCATATCATCAGTATTATTTTGTAATTGATATCGTATTAGTGACTAAAGGTGCGGGTTTCGACCGGTGAGTCGAGTTATTGGATATTCATTAGTTGTAACTACAAATAATTATAACACTTTAAAATTACTGCAATTCTGTATAACAGATAAATAAAGTTTTCTGCGTGTGCTTTAATAACTACTCGTTTCTGGGTAAGAGATCTAAACAACGGATATTCCTCTGCATAGGTTTCCCTATCCGTTTCCAAGAAGCAGATTTTAGCACAGGAGCTATAACTGTTACACTCCAGATATCACTGCACTGGAGCACACATTAAGTCTTCACAAGGCGACTTCTAATTCTTCTTCTACTACGAACTTCCCGTGTCTCTCTCCTACCGAGAACTGACTGACTCGTAGCGCCGATTGTCTTAAACATAACATCTCTGCACGGACCCCACGAAAAACCGCGTCTTCTTTTGTTAACGATGCGTGTTTACAGCTTCTTTGCCTGCCAATATACGTCCTATTCTTCCATGCATTTGCTTGGCGCGAACACATTGCAAACACTTCTGTTGTCAGAATTGTTGCGCAACCTAACAACGGACTGTTTACCAAGAATCTGTCTTCGCAGGAACTTGTTTACCAACCCGTTGCTCGGCAATGCTTTGCCATGTCACAATATCATCTTCTCCAATGCCTATTTTCTAATCTTGCCTCAACTTAATGTACCATTCTGAAAATTTTTATAACATACCCTAACGCGGTAGCGTAGTTGGTTGAGGCACTATGCTACAAGCCGGAAGGTCGCGGGTTTGAATCCCGTTGAGGTCATTGGATTTTTTTCAATTTACCTAATATTTCCAGCCGCACTATGGCCCTGGGGTCTAATCAGCCTCTAACAGAAACGAGTATTAGGAATATTCTTGGAATATTCTTGGGGGT